TCCAGTGCCATTAAGTCTTATGAATGCCTGTTGGAAATTCATTATTCCAGTTTCTAGAGGGCTACTTATGGTCCTCTACAGTCTAAAGCACAATTCTCTCTGGAACAGAGCTAGTTAAAAATGTTTGGTCAAAATGTTTTTTTTCGTTAGAACGCCATTTTACGAAAACTGCAGTTTTTATGACTGTCTGTATAGTGGTTTAGGGAGAAACCTTTTCTTCATTCCAACTTGTATTGCTGGTCAAAATTTCAAAGCAGAAGGGAGTGCGCTGGAAAGAGACACTGATGTTCCCCATGGGTAATTCTTGATTTTGTCCAGATTGTTGGCTGGAATTTTCTGAAGCTACTTTATTGGCACGAGGCTCTGTGTCTCTGACAGAGGGAATCTCCAGGGAAAACCAAGAGGCACAGTCCAACAGGGTCAGCAGAGCTTTCACTTGATGTTACACAGATTTTGCTCATGACGATCATCTTTCCTCACACAGTGTAGTAACAACCTCAAGAAGTGCGTCTGTAAAAAAAATGACTGCCACAGCACTACACAAAATCTTGATAGTTTCATGAAGTGACAAATACTGTTTCAAACTCTCATTTTCCCCTTCATCCAAACCAAAACAAAACAAAGAAACAAATAAAAAGTACCTACAACGTCTGTTTTGCATATTGTGTCATGTATAAGTCATTTAGGCCCTGTAGCTCTGTGATAAATTCCTTGGAAGGATGAAATCTGGCAAGGCACAGTTTATACAGGGTGTATTTCATATGCCTCAACTCACAGGATTAGTACCACGGAAGTTTTCCACTCTAACATGAGCTGTAGCATGTTCAACATGAAAATAAATATATAAATAAATAAATAAGGTGGCAAAGCAAGTGACACAGGCTCTCCTCTGTCACCTGGGAAAAAATAGAGGGACTGAGGCTGGGAAAGGGAGATGAAGATCAGGTGTTAAATGTCATCTAAAACAGAAAGAAAATGAAAGTAAGGCAGGAAGATAACTCAATTTTTGAGTAGAGTCTATAGAAAAAGGCTTGGGAATGTAAACAGGGGTGTAAACAAGGTGTTGATGAAGATGGTCATGCCTCAGGCTCTGGTGCAGTGAAGAATCACTGGTAACTCAACCTTTCTCGGGTCGATAGTGGGGATTTGGGGGCTGAAGAAGACTGAAAGGAGCAGAAGGGAGTTGGGGAGTGATGAATGTTACTGAGGTAGTGCATTGAATATCTTGGCTGCTGATTTCCTTGCGTTTTACTCAGGTCTATCAGCTACTCCACCCAGTTTGGTATCATCATCCCACATAGGGTGGCAAAGTACCAGTCTCCACCCACATGCATTTAAAGACTGAGGACTGTGCTGCCATCCAGAGGGACCTGGACAGACTGGAGGACTGGGCGGTGAGAAACCTCATGAGGTTCAACAGGGGCAAGTGCAGGGTCCTGCACTTGGGGAGGAATAACCCTGGACACCAGTACAGATTAGGGGTGGACCTGCTGGAGAGCAGTCCCGCAGAGAGGGACCTGGGTGTCATGGTGGACGACAAGTTGACCATGAGGCAGCAGTGTGCCCTGGTGGCCAAGAAGGCCAACGGGATCCTGGGGTGCATTAAGAAGAGCGTCTCCAGCAGGTCGAGGGAAGTGATCATCCCCCTCTACTCAGCCCTGGTGAGGCCACATCTGGAGTACTGCGTCCAGTTCTGGGCTCCCCAGTACAAGAGGGATGTGGAGCTGCTGGAGAGAGTCCAGCGCAGGGCTACCAGGATGATCAGGGGCCTGGAACATCTGCCCTATGAGCAAAGGCTGAGGGAGCTGGGTCTGTTCAGCCTGGAGAAGAGGAGACTGAGGGGGGACCTGATCAGCGTGTATAAATACCTAAAGGGAGGCAGGGAGGAGGAGGGGGCGGCCTCTTTTCAGTGGTGGACAGTGATAGGACTAGAGGAAATGGCTTCAAACTGAAGCATCGGAAGTTCCACAGGAACTTAAGGAAGCATTTCTTGACAGGGAGGGTGACAAAGCACTGGAACAGGTTGCCCAGAGAGGTTGTGGAGTCTCCTTCTTTGGAGATCTTTAAAACCCGCTTGGATGCAGCCCTGTGCCACATGCTCTAGGTGACCCTGCGTGTGCAGGGGGTTTGGACTCGATGACCTCTGAGGTCCCTTCCAACCTTGGGCATTCTATGTCAAATGTGGCAATTTTTGTGTATATATGTAAATGCAATTGTATCATGACAAGTACTTAGATCAGGAGAACTTCGTTTAATTAACTATCTCAGCCTAAGTGTCATTTGAGATAGTCTTGGGTTATACTTTGGACTAGTACAGTTTATCATTTTCACTCCAAACAAGTGATCTACTTGAGATTTAGATAGTCGATCTTTCCCTTACCCTCATCTTCCAACTTAGTAATTCCATATCATATAACATGCCTCATTTTCCTTTTATGACAAGATGCAAATTAGTATGCTTACAGGAAATAGAGGGATCATAAAGCAATGAATTTTAGGAGATAGGATGTGCTAATGTAACAAATAATATGGCAAGGGAGGATAAGCACTCCCATCAGATATAGCCAAAGTGCATAATTTTACGCCTGGTGAATAAACATTTTTTAATGGCTTCTTGGTAAGTTGTCATTACACTGTTTATGCTTAATTTTCCAGTAATGGGATGAGTAAGCCATATAAAATGGCTTGCTTGGACTACAAAAATTAGGTTTTATAATTTTACTTTTTTTGCTAGTTTTACAGGGAGGAACACAGGTGAGTACTCTACAGCAGCTAGATATAGACAGAGACTGAACAAAGGAACATAGAAAGATTGAAGCTACAACACAAAGATTTCCTGGAGTTCTTAGGTTTACTGGAGGATTTTGGTATGAAGTTTTTTAAAGGGATTGGAAGAAACTTTTAGCTGTTTTTACCCTCTCCCCCACCCACAGAAAAGAGGACTTTTAGATTCTTATGGAACACTTTTTCTATTCAGTATTTGTTCTCAGTGTCCTCTTGTGAATGTCTATCATTTACTTTAGCATAAATGGTATTTTTTCTATGAATCCTGTCTAACTGATATGAAAATTATTATGTAACACCCCTTGTGAAGTCCTGGGAGTTAGCAAGGGAGTATGTATAAAAAAAGAGTTCAATACATGTACCCATATAATAGCAATGCCATCAAGAAAAAGCCTTTGAACACTGCACTAATTGCAATGCAGTAAAATGGCAGTTGAATATAAGACCTAAATTCATCTTTGTGCTCAAGTTCTTAGTGAGGTGAGAGTTTGAATAAATGGGATAAGCCACATGAAAGAAGTCTTTTTTAATGTTACAGACTTCATCTGTAAGACTGATTTCTTTCAGTCCTTCCTGTCCTCTGCCTATAGCATTAGACTTTATTTTAAACATTCCCACTTATGTGTGAATCTGGATTTTCTCTATTTATTTCATCTTATATGTGGGCCATTACTATCTTATTATCTCAAGTGAGTTTAAGGAAATATTTGTTCCTATTTTGATAAGTCAGCAACCTTCACTCCTTTTCTGTCATTGTCACAGCCACCACCACCACCATCACCATTGCGAAAGGAGCTACAGAGAGATGATCTGATTTTTGATGGGAGGCTGAACCTGCTACTTTGGAAGGCCTGTGTATCCCTACCAGTGGAGAAGTACTTTTCCCTCAAGCATTACTTCTATGCTTTAGCCTAACGACAGCACACTTAGTAAATTATTAAATTAGTATTTTTAACTGTTTATTTTTTATTACTCTTTAATAGTCACTTTGATTTGTACTATTTTTAAAATAATTAATTAATTAAAATGATTCAGTTGAGTAGACTACCATATTGCTGTTCCTGGACCTAGATTTTAGTGCTCAACATATCCTGCTTGAGTCCTGCTTCATACTACCCTCTTTAATAGTGCCTTTGCTTCTGCTATTTTATTCTTAGCTTGTGCATAATAAAAAGTCTAGAGTAATCAAATTCATATAGTCCCTGCTAGCAGAAATAGGAGCCTTTGCGAAGAAGTCTGTTCTGTTCCACACTCAGGAGAAAATCTAGACTTACAGGATAGCTATAGATAGTACAAAATTAGTGAGCTTCATATGCAGAAAGGAAAAGCTGCTTAAAGAGGGTTATCAAGGAATCTGGAAATGTCAACATGCCTTCTTAAGGTCTGAAACAAAAAGAATATCATGAGAAAAACGGTTTTGAATTAGTATATCAAAAGACTAACACAACAGATAATTAAATCCTTTGATTTATATTCTGTTGGCCTAATGATTAGTGGAGTGTCTTTAGAAGATTTTTCCAAAGTTGGAATGGTTGTAGCTTTCAAGGCTTGAAAAAGATCTAAACATAGGCTTGGATGGTGCTCTGAAATTGGTAGGGCTAGATCTATCAAGTTGAAAATACAGGGTATGGTAAAGCAAGAGATACAGAGGAGTTTATCTGAGAATTATATAGAAGGTTTGACAACTCAATGAATAAGCAATCTTAAATGCTGTCTGTGGTTGCTCAGAATTTAATTAGCAGCTCATATATATGAGCAGCTCATAAATATATGAGGGTGTAAACAAATCATTGTCTTTGAGCGGTTTTCCAAAACATTGGTCACATACTCTGGATATAAGAAATCCTGGCAAAGACTATCTGAAATACTGAAAAATCTTCCCCTCCTCAAGGACTGGCCTCTATCAGCATCATGGTACAACAACTTTTGCACAGTCCATCATCCCATCCACTCTTCAGCCTCAGATGCCATTCTACTGTGCCATCAAAAAGAACATCAAAGAATTGGCTACACATTGGCTACATGAACAGCCAACCTTCTTGTGACTTGGATGTTTTCTACAGCAGATTCCAACCCTATTCATCCTGGTCTTTACAACGACTATGTTGCAAGATGCATCTTTAGATATCTCTATCAGCCACATGCCTCACCACAGAGCACTGCTGAAGCCCTGTAAAGAAGTTATTAGCAAGTCCACCTGTGTGATTTGTGAATACCTTTCTTTAGCAAGGAACTGAGACAGCATAGCTGTGAAGCTGTGGGCCATTTACTAGGAAGCATCAGATCTTGAAACGCTTCCAGCTCTTCATTTGCAACTGGCACTTATGTGATTTTGACTGCTTATTTTATTCCAAATAAAGCCAAGAAATTTTGGCATTGCATTATGTTACAGAAGGATAAGTATTGGAAAGGTGGCATTTCTTTTTCCCATAAAATTAATTGATATATGAAGTCATTGATAAATGCAGATTTGAAGATGCAGCTTTTAAAGCACGTTTTGCTGATATCTCCCTACTCCTATATCAGGTTTAGAAAAACATATTAATAGAAAACATTGGCTTCATAAAAATATGTAAGCAAGAGTTTTATTTGCAAATTAATTGTGTCCTGCAAATATCAGGATGTAAATCAGTTTCTCTGTGATACTATACAAGAAGGATATACTGTTCTTTTTCTATTTTCTTTTTTGAATATTATCAGTTTTTAATCACAATGAAATATAATAGATGAGACTTTCTACAAATTCTTGATTTTAATAAAAGCTATAGGAACACCTTCTTTATTATATTCAAGGAGATGAAAGCCAGAGCCATTTTCAAAGACTTATACAGACTTTAACAACTAATCAAATTGAAAATTCTGAGATTTTTATTACTAATGAAAGGTTATTCTGAAGTTGCCATACTTTTTGAAGAAGCTAGAAGTGTTTGATTTACAAAATTTGAGTAATCTCCAAAAGAACAGTAAATAACTGGAAAAAGTAAAAGCTTAAAGCATTCTAAGAATTTTCTATTGCAAGGATTAAGACAGTATAACCACTAACTCAAGACAAATTACAAGTCTTGAATATGTAGTAATAGGCTTTATAGTCATGGACTGCATTTATTATGAAGCCTTTCAAAAGAGATAACTAAGTTCTGAAAGAATGACAGAAAATGTTTTTTAATCAATCCAAACTATAAAATCAATATAAACTTCCAATTACCAAAATACCATGAGAATAAAAGGTTAAGAAAAAAATAGAATTTAAAAAGTGGATCTTTATTATGGATTTTTGTCTTTACTCAGCATGTTTCTGCAAACAAGGAAAAGAATAGAAGATAACGAGAAAGCAGCCCTGGGATACAAATTGGAAAAACCAGCAGAATTTAATATTGTGTAAAAATTCTTAACAACTCTTAATTTGCTGTGTAAACTCTTTGAATGTCTCTTTGGAAATAAATGTCTTCATTTGTCTTTAGTTTCAGAGATCTTTCAAAAGAAACATCCCTAAATAAAGGAATATTCTCTTTAGAACTATGGCAGTGACAGACATCCCCAAGCAGGCATTCAGGGAGGACATTAAAATTTGGCCTTCTCATGTTTACTTCTCTGGACTATATTTTTTTTAATAATAAAAAAAAGATGCATGTGCTTTTAATAACATTACTTAGCACTCAACATGTCCCTTCCTACCCAGCAGCCTTAATAGAAATTGTACTGAAATCAATAGAGAAGAACTCCAAATGGGTTGGGTCATGATACGGATCAATTCAGGATGTGTAAGTAATAATTTAACTTTCATAAATTCTAGCTTCTTTGGCTGAACTGTAGATATTCTTCCAGAATGGCATATAGTCGAATAAGGCTCACTTAGGAACAAAATATTGTTTTTTCAGAGAGGATTAGTTTATATACAGAATATGGCTTTTTTTCAGTTTGGTAGTAAGAATAAACACAGATAAAAAATATGCTGGACCATACAGATCTCTTTAGACTTTCTGGAAACAAATGATAAGGCAATCCACAAAGAGATGTTGTACATATTGCATATTGTAATGCAAAAAAAAAAAAAAAAAAAAAAAAAAAAAAAAAAAAAAAACCAAAACCAAACCAAAACAAACCCAAATGCAGATATGTACAAGAGACAGAAAAGGTTTTAATATAAGTTTAAATACTGAGATATTATTTAACCTGCCAGAATGTTAAGTAATATTTTTAGAAATGCATTGGGATCTAGGGAAACAAAATGAACATTTATATTACAAGTGTTTGTACAATATAGAAAGGTACGCAGGCTAAGTCATCCCCTTAATGTACATATATATTGTTTTCTAAGTAACATTGCAGAATTTCTTATAATACAGTGACCACATCAAGTTTTATTGTATGAGAACTCTCAAGGAAATTAATTTGCTCAAATGTAATAAATATCTCCAACTGCTAAAGAAGTGCACAGTGTATCCTCTTGCATAGATTGCCTATCTTTCTTTTTCTTTTTTCACTAAACCGCATAAGAACTTGGAGTAATTTATAAATGCTGCTACCACAGAGTACTTTCCCTCTGTGCCTGCATTTGCAAAAAAATATGTAGAATTGACCAAGAGTTTGGAATTATAAACTCTTGCTTATCATTTTCACTCTGATTCAAAAGAGTCCTGAGACATGTGTCCAAACACTCTTCTAGAACAGAGATGCTCTCTCCAGTCAGGAACTCTCATAACTAATCTCCACAAAAAATGCAGTTTATTTTATAAAACCTCAATATACTGTAGATGAGAAGCATTGTAGAGATGAAAGAAACATGTTCACAGAGACCACAATGACACATGACTAGCATTTTGGGGACTGAATCTAATTTAGAAATGAAATGACCTGATTCCTTTCTCCTGTCTAATACATTGACTTAAATGTTTCTTACGCAAGGAAGTGAAATCTAGCCTGCTTGTTATATACTATTTGCAGAAGTTTAGCTTTAATTTACAAATAAAAAGCAGAGAGCTCCTGTAGGCATGAGAATGCATTGTATTTAGACACAGAAGCTACCTAATAAACTGAGTATGGAGATAATGTGCAAGAATGGATTTGAGAGAAATGAATTTCTCTTTAAAGGCTCCAAATCTGAAGCCCAGTTATGTAATTTAGGGTCATGATGTAAGTATTTTACTGCTGATCATTTAAACAGGTTGTTTCTGGTGAAATCCTTGGCGAGGAAGGGAATGAATAGCGCTGCAGTAAAGGAAATGCATAAATGAGGGAAAATGAGGCCTAAAAGGTAGGCAAAGCATAAACAGGGAATACCGCAAATGGAAGAAGATCGCAAATAGAGGACATTACCCATAATGATGGAAGAGTTGTGTTACTGTAGCTGTAATGGTCAAAGGATATTAGAGAGGCAAGATTTTGGGGTCATATCTTTAGTAATGGTTTATTTCCATTGGTGTAGTAGAATATATTATCTGTATATATTATCTGTATCTACCACCCTGGCCTCCTGTACTGATGAGCACTAGAGGTAGCTGAAGGCTTTCTGTCAGTATGTTTTGCTTCTGTCTTTTAAAACAAATATTATGTTTTAAAGCATAAGTATGTGTTTTTTTTCAGGTTTTTGTAGAAAATCTCAAAGCCTAACCTCAGCTTTTTTCTATGTAAAAGAAAACAGGAAAATTAAAACATTTTACTTTGAAAAACTTAACAGTGTTAAGCAAAAACAACAAAATCACTGCAAATATATTCTGCTTTTGTGGATTAATTTTAATACATAAAAATTTCCATTTAGTATTACCAAACATGACAATATTTATCAAGCAAAAAAGTACACACCCTGAGAGCTGGGCTGCAGGGATTTCCCCAGTGGGAGAGGCACTGTGGTTCTCCTTCACTTCAGTTAAAGGTTTTGCTCCCAGGAGGTGGTGGATGGGTTCAAAGAGGAAATTTGGTGGCCTTAATATTATGAGGTCAAAAGGGGTGTTTCAGCAATGACTAGATTTCCCCTCAGCTTCAAGAAAGGAGGGTGCAGCATTAGAGAGAAGGGCTGCTGGTGCTCATCCCTGCCATGGCCTGGCAGACTGAAACCCAGGTGAAGTGGTGTCTGTGAGGGCTGTGCGGGAACACAGCAAACAGTGGGAGGAAAGGAACTGCTGGAAGCAGGCTCAGAGTTTAAAGTGAAAGGCTGGAGGGAAAGAAGGGATTGTGAGGGACAGCAAGCAGCAGGTTGTCAACATGACACAGAGAAGTGTGCAGAAGTTGTGAGAGGCTGAGGTGTCTGGCAAAGGCTCCACACATCACAAATACAGAGCAAGGGAGATGCTCTAAGTAGAAAGGAACTGAGATCAAATATGTCTTCTGTGTGTAGAAAGTCATTCCAGATGAAATAAATACAGCAAAGTCAATATTTCTCAAGTAGCAAATTCTTACATGGGTTCCTTCTCTTTTATTTCACATTCATTTAAGTTTGTAAAACCCTGGCCAGGGTCCCTGCCAAGTAAACACATAGCTGGGATATAGCATCCTGGTTGGGAGTCAGCAATTTTTAGTGTACGGGCATGAGGCAAACTGCACCTCTTGGCCATTTGGTCAGAAATCATTATCAGGCTCCTTCTGGTCACTATTGCAGTTATTGTCCACCTTGCAGGCAGCTTGGTTTATTTGGGAATGAAGCCCCCACCACCTTGCCTTTAGCTCCTCTCATTCTTGCCCAGGATGTACTCTAGCTTTCAACATGTGGGTCTGTGCTGCTGGCTCACAACTTCTGTCGTCGCCTAGGAAGAAATAAAGGATTGCCTTGAACTTCTCTCCAGTAGTCCTTCTTTGGAAGTTGCAAAGGGGTTGAACCAGTATTTGGTTAGTTTTGTGGCTGTCGGGTCTGGTCTGTAGCTCATTTGTGTTAGTGCCAAATCATCCTTTCAGATACTATGAAACACAAGGAAAAAGAAGCGGGACGAAAAAAGAGAATTTATGAATGCAGGTGAAGGTCACATGCATATGTCACAACACACACACACACAATCACACATTTGCTTTCAAGTTTTTGTCTCTTCTCTTCTGTTTGACATATTGGTCATGGAAACACATCCAGGACTCTGCTCACAGGGAACAGCTCGGCAGGATCAGAGAAGAAATACTTGTGCCAAGAACACAGCAGTTCATCTCCTTCCCTTCCTGTTCAAGGCAGATTATGATAGCTTGCTTCTCAGCTACTATTAAAGTCACTTTAAATACTTCAAGTTTAAGCCCATACTTCAAACCAAATTTAAATTAAAATTAATGTTATCTTCCTGCACTGTG